AGTGGACAGGCCCACAGATGCAAGAAGAATGGGAGGCAGAAAACATCGAAAACATTTTGTCGTAAGATGGCCCATCCTCAAGGAAACAAATTATTCTTTGTGGACCGCACCCTCGTATTCCTCTCGTGTTCCCATTGATTCTTGTTCAGAGGCCAGCACAAGGCCAGATCTGTTACACGAATAAGGATGTAGGCACTACAATGCACAAGTGCGTACTTGATATTTTCTTGAATGTTTAAACGGACGTCAAGTTAATTATCCGAATCCTGAACATCAGGGACAAAGAGGAAAGACATCCGGGTTACCACCTACGACGAACTCCACAGTGGCTCAGCCAGTCACGAAATTCTCCGTCAATGCGAGAATCTGTCTCCTAAGGCCAGTTGCCAGCTTCCTAAATGACCACCCCTTGTTGGCTGTCCGTGTTTGCTTATTCAATACATTCGGGTTTACCCTTCGTCTCGTCCACCCACAACCATGCCCGCTTAATAACAGGCTAACAACAACACAAATTATACAAATGATATTACTGTTACGAGCTTCGAAATGCGTCTTTCGCAGTAACGCCTGTTCTGGAAGAAACAATTTCTTTCGTGAGCCGCACTTACCCTTGACGTTGCAGCATCTGTTGCACCGCCTTCTAGAATGGGCCGAACGAGGTACATCCGCTGCAGAAAGATGGCGCCAATCTGGAGGTGAACATCCTCCGGTGCTTGACGTCTTGCCTCTGCTCCCAACACTTCCTGTAGACATTTTCTGCATCGCATCACTTCTGGTCGCTGGGGCATTTTCTTCTTCAGCAGTAGGCGTAGTTGTGGCAGTTGGTGTCTTGCTTAAGCAGCTGTAACTACCGCGGTCTCTGTTCAGAAAAGTGCCTATGGAGTGACGTCGCCTGCCACTGCCGGCATTCGAACCCGGCAAAGGAATCGTCATGGCCGCTGTCAGGTTGTAATACCGAGCATCTCCATTGCTGAGAAAGACTTCTTCAGGAGATCCACCGAGGAGTTCTTCAGAAGCAGCAGTCTTAGGCACTGAAGCTAACGCAGAACTCGGAGTACGCGGGATCGGGCAATACACCATGTCAGTATTTAGAAGCTCCACTGACGATTTTTGTGATTTGAAGCTTTTGTTGCTGTTACTGCGACGTCGCTGGTGATGGTGATCTTCCTTGTTAGGAGAAGAAGAGGAAGCAGAAGGATGGTGAAGTTGGTGGTGAGGCAGACAAGGAGACTCTGGGGCCATGTCCGAAGGCCGAGGTTCACCAAGGACCAAAAGCTGGTGCTGCAGCTGATAAACAGCCGAGCCGTGATGGTGGTTGGCGCTCATGGAACGCAGTATGGACCGAAAACTGCGTCTGTGATGGGAGTGCGAGGACAAGGGAACTGGGGCGCTTGGCAGCAAAGGGGTAGCTGCAACCTCTGGAGCAGTCGGCGTCGTGGGTGCGGAGTTGTGGCCCAAAGACGAGGACGTGCAGGAGGCCGAAGAGGTGTTGGCGCCCATACTCCGGCTGATGTTGGCACCGCGACGCTTCAGCAGGGAGAATGGACCGCGTGAGGTCGACGCTGGAGTCCCTGACGTCGAACCTCCCGGAACAGAAAAGTATGACGGATTGTCTGGAAGCAGACAGACAAAACGGATTCGTGAGACTTACCTGTAACACCCAGGTCTTTCTTGACGCTGTTCTGACTGCATAGATTTCATAGTTTCACGATGAAGTTTGTCATTTTTAATCTACTTCCAGCCACCTCTTACTTCTTCCGTTCTAAGTTCAAATATTCTCCTCAACATCCTCCTCTCTAACACCCTTGATGTATTCTTCCCTCAGAGTGAAACGCCAGGTTTCAAACCCATACAAACCCCAGCAGGTAAAACTGAAAATTCTGTGTATTTTAAACTTTACGTTCGCAGATATGAAGCGGACAGACGGCAGATTCTTAACCCCGAATAGCGCAGGCCTACGTACGATTCCGTGGCTATGATTTGCTCCCAACTTATTACTTAATAAAATTTAAATTTTTTATCTTAGTTCACAAATAATGTGCTAACCGTCTTCATATCATAACTGAGTTGTACCGCGATACGAACATACCGTCCCTCATCCTCTGTGTTTACTTCAGATCTACCGTCTTACTGTACAACATCAAATGTGGGCTGTGATATTCTTTACAGCACGTGTATCTCCGCCTAATAAATTTTACATCATGGGCCATTCATTTAGCCAATTTTGCTGTTACCATCAGCCTATTAGCAAAGTTATTTTCCTTTCCTTCGGTATGAATGGCCTACAGTCGCTTATACGGTATAATATTAAAATAGTACATGAACATTATAAATATTTAGTCTGTTGAATTACAGAAATCTTAATTTCATTTACAAATGTCGTATACCAGCATGTCGAGATATGTCACGATCGAATTTAAGGGGTTAATAAGTGTTATGATTATATTCCTAGATAAATAGTTAATTACTATGGGTCCATTGTATTACGTAGATAATTCTGAACTGAGAATAAAACAGAACAAATTCCAAATATCAATTATATCTCCCTGCAGCCATTATATTTGTACTCTGCGTCTTGCAATACACAAACAGTTTAGCAGTCAGCGTCTTGAGTTCACAATTTTTTTATAGCTTCTTATAACCTGTAGAGATTTTGTCTACGATAAATTCATTGATTATATGCTTACAATTCTAAATGTTTGTAATTGTGGATCCACAAATAACATTTAATTTAAAAAAATTGTACGCATGTTTACAAAAAAAAAGTCACGTGTGTCGTTCATGTTTCACTAATTATAGTCGTAAAATTGGCCAAACATCATTTTCGCACGACTGTCATGCTGTTGATTTATTGTCAACAACATTTACCGAAACCAATTTTGCCCATTATGAAAATCGGTTTATGTTTAAATTCTGAAACATTTACACAGGCCTTCTTGCATTATAAGATAAAAATAATATATATATATATATATATATAAACCTGAGCATATAGATTCTAAAATTAAGTCCGTCAATCGAAAATGAGTCCACTGAACTAACACACCCGTCTTGTAGACAACACGGAGAAATGAAGTTGATAATATAATCGGTAAAGAAAGCTGGCGATGTCGTCCAACGCTGTTTACAAACAAGACACCACAAGTTCACGAGGCATTTTGAAATTAAATTTGAATAGAAGTAAATCAAACATGTTTTCATACCAGCCAGCCCTGACGCAAAGTGGACCGCGTTAACGCAAAAGCACAACAGCGCACTGGGTTGATACTGAAGAGAGAGCTCCTCACTGTCGAGACATTCACACAAGAATGTCAAGATGAGGGACAGACCACGAAGGCACCTGTACATCACCCCCTCCCCTGCCAACACTATTGTTTTCCTCTGCTGAGGGAAGGGATGTCAGAAGGCCCCGACAGGACGAAAAACTAAAAACACAGTTGAACATATCACTGAAGAAAACAAAGAAAGAAAAAGGCTATTGTATGTGACAACATTCATCTCTTTTTGATAGTGCCGAAAAGGGACAAGACTGTGTTCTTAAGATTCCAGAACACTCCTAGGATTCGGCTGTGCAAAGATTACCTAATGTCATTCCAAGCCTCTCCGAAGCGTGAACTTACCTACGGCTTCCATTGTCTTCACCTTTTGGTGCAGACGAGGATATGACGAGTGAAGTGATCGTTCGTTGACGAAGACGTCCAAGTGATATCTCTTCTTTCTTTCGTCGTACTTTTCACAGCAGCGACATTTTCATTAGACATTCAGCCACCGTAGTAAAAATATACACCTCGCAGTACTTCGCAGCATTGCCATACAAGAGCATACACTGATGATGTCTTTGAATTTCAATGACTTTGTTTCTGAGCTAACTGTCTTCGCATCCGAGTGTCAAAGTCATTAGCAGCTATCACACATGAATATAAAATTCGTATGCAAGGAGCCGAAGTACTCGACCGGATAAAATTTGTTTATAATATATTACGTAGTAACTAAACAAACCCGCAGACTGTTTTGAACATTCACTTCATAACGTGCTGCAAAATATTTGTATTCAAAGCCATTTTCAAAAAAATTGTCACAAATAATAGTCGCTGTCATTTTCATCCAAACTTTTCCGTCCAGTCTCTGCACATCTCAGGGCCTGAAGAACTCCAGAGCTGTATTCTTGCGGTCGTAGCCACTTCGACTAGCCCGCTGTTGGTTTTGAGCCGAGGAGAATCTTCCCTCCGTCAGCCAGCCTTCCCGCGAACTCACTGCCTCTCGCTGGCTGGCTACCTCACAACATTTAACAGTGCCATATGATGGGAGAACTCACCCCACTCTTGCCAGCTCACGTTTCTCGAAGAAATGGTCTTCTTTCCCATGGTTTTGCTGTATCTACGATTACTAAAAGACGTTGCCGACTTCCGTGGCAGCTTCTCACTCACAATGGACCACAGACAAAAAAGTCGCGGGTAATATTCTAAGTATTTTGTTCAGATATGAAGTAAATTACACTTGAAGACATGTCTCGGAGCTGTGTTTCGTTCTTTGAAAGAACTTCGGCCAATCTCAAATGTAAATCCGATCGCCCTGATGACGGAGGCAGCAAGGACCTCTGAAACGTTGGTCAACTTCTACCAGACTACGACGCTACAACCAAGAATACAGCCATCTTCCGTACTTGAACCAATTCCACATTTTTTTAGAGAGTTGATGAATCCTATTGCCAATATTAAATTAAAACGAAAAACAACATTCTACATTTCGTTGCTATGTCCCTGACAGAATGTTATACAATTTGTTAATATGATTAAGATTTTAATTTATGATAGTTTTATAAACGAAAATACCGACTAATTATATGAAGCAGAGTCCTTGAAAAGCTAATAGTATGCTCAGCTAGTCACTAAATTTCCCGCCTTATATTAAACACGAAGGTTCATTACCGTGTTCACAAAAGCCCCTTTCCGACGCCCCCTGTAATATTTCGTAATATGCCATTCTTTTTACGATGGGGGGAGCTGTGATCCCAACCCCGACGTTGGAGTATCACCCCTTGTCGGCTATCCGCGACCGCTTATTCAATATATTTTCAGCTACCCTACGTATCTGGAAACATTCCGTTCTTTGTAAGATGTACAAAACAAACCGTAATAGTACGCAAAGACTGTTATCAGAATTTTCAATTCAACGCCGCTATGACCGGATCGCGTTAAGATTTTTTTAAGAACAGGGTCGTAGGCCTACTGGCACCAGCGTTTTAATTATTTTTTTTTTGCAGTTTTCATTCGTTAAATTTAATAATACATATTCAAAAATGACAAATTACCACAGCACGTACTCAAAAACAAATCTTACTGATATCCAAACAAATTAATATAGCGTTACACATTATTGAAAATTTCCTCCTGCAAAAGCCTGTTTCTCACACAAAAGTTACCTCGAAAACTTACGGAATTTTAAGATCAACAGCATTTTTTGTACTTGGACGTAAACCTGCAGTCGAAATAAGAATCAC